ATATATATATATATATATATATATATATATATATATATGATTGGGTTCACATGAGAATAAATCTCAATGAAAGAAATGAGAATAGATCGTAGTCATTAGATCGGATGATCTAATGGCTTAAAAAGCCAAAATTATATCTTCATTAAAGATAATGTAAAAATAAAAGCACTTTTAACACCTATATTATTTCGATTAAAACGTGGTAATTTTCTATACACCACCAAAAAATGTGGGCCCCACTGCTCAATATTATTTGCACCTACCACCTGCCAACTAACATATAATTCGATCAACACACAACTACCCCACTTCACCCAACACCACACTCTCTCACACACACACTCACAAACACAATATAAAACACACAGTATCACACACACACATGACACCCACACATACACACAGTAACCGGTCGATCGTCCGATCTCCACGCCAGCTCCGGCAGCCATCCATTCCAGTACTCACACACAGCGCCGCCGCTCGTTGTTCGCCCTGACGGTTTTCAGCGAAGTCGGGACAACAAGTATCTATCAAACACCTGCCGGAGAAGACAACCACGTCGCCTCGCCGGTTGACTCTGTCGTCAGCCGTCTCCCTCGATCGTCGTATCCTCGCCGGAATCGAGACGGGCGATGAGGCTGTTGAAGACGAAGCCGGCAATGGAGATGCTAATGGGAGCCCGTGTTATAATCTGGGTATTAAAAATACACGAGAATCCTACGAACTGATATTTTAATCTTTTCATTTCTTACAAATGAACTAAAATTAAAATTATAATACAACCGGAAAATAAATTACAACTCAAAAGCGGAAAGAATATAGCTAAGACGAGAATTTCTCTTTCCGCAAGACGAATACTCCCTGTGTAGTGCTTACGATTCAGGTGTAACGTCCCCAAAGATACAACAGCTAACGTCTCGTAATCTGTAGCACACCAGATTTACGAGCTCCGGCGAACTGGAACAGAGTCGAGAATTGAGCACTTAGAAATAAAAGAAATATTCTGAAACTAATAAAAATATCACTTTTTCCTTCTCTTTTGATATTTTTATATCTGGTATTTGGATACATTTTTTTTCTTTCCTTTCCTTTCTCTTTCTTTTTCTCTCTTTTTTTGTGTGTCTTTCCGTTCCTCCCCGAATGGCTATTTATAGGGGGTTTTGAGCAAGTTGTGACAATATGGCCAATAGTTGTAACTTAATCATTAGGCACATGTTGTTAATTGATTAGCATTAGGCACATGCTATGATTATTGCTTAGACACATGTATCTCTATTATTGTAACAAACAATTGCATTATTAGTCAAGGGGTGGGGACCCACTACTTTAATTTACACTCAAAATTCTGACAATCTCCCACATGAGTGTGAATTAAATATATGCAATCTAATGTGTTCAATCTCACTAAACTCTATTGCATCAAAAGGTAGTTTATGGCTTTGAACCTCTCTTAGTAAATATCATTGGATGCATGGCGGCTTAGTGGGCATAATGGCTTGAACTATTCCTCCATAGTTTACACCTAGACAATGGCGTTTACACAATAGAGAAATAACTCCATTTCGTTCTATTGTTGTGTCCATTTGGTCGTGGACAACACTTTGGACTCATAAGTGTTTACATTTGAAGCGGCCCTCACATCACACTTATATGGGTGACCTCCCTATCAAGAGTATCATGTATTACTCCACCTTACAAGGTTAGGGATTCATTAAAAGTCCATACCACTTACCCTTACCACAATCAACAGGTCATCCTACACTTGGAGTGCTCTAGGGAATAGCTTTGGACATTCTTATATTCCAAGTGCTCAGCTGAATTTTCATAGTTTAGTTTTTCCCTTTAACCAAGTTCATGGGATCTCCATTCAGCAAGGTAGGGTTACCACTATGATCATTCTTTTCATTGTGGATTTTTTATGCCCATTCCCTCTAGCAATACTCTCAATTGATCTCTATTCAATCCTTTAGTCACAGGATCTGCCAAATTTTCCTTAGACTTCACGTAGTCAATGGAAATAATATCATTTGTGATCAATTGGCGGACAGTATTATGTCTACGAATATGTCTAGACTTACCGTTATACATGTTG